TTACAGGGAGCTGTTGACCTGCTCCTTTCATGTCACAAGTCTGCATCTAACTGCTCTCTTAATCCAACCTACTTCCTCCTTTTTAATGAAATTGTCCCTTTAGCCCTTTTCCTGGGCTGGCTTTTCAACACTAACATTAGAAACAGGCTGCTCAGTTCTTTCCTCTGCTAACATCTTGCCCAGAGCTAACTTGCAGCTTCACTCTGTCAGCTGTAAGATATAGATATACTGTTGTCTTAATTACTCATATTTCTCCTGCTGCTCATAATTCTGCTTGTTCCACCAAAGAGCTCTTCAGAGAGCTTTGCTGCTTCCCTTTCCCTTTCTTTGGGGGTTTAAAGGTTGTCAGATATATAAACGATCCTTGTTGCAGAGCTTTGGTGGTGACAGTGTCCTTTGTGGGGAAGATTTAGGGGGATGGGAGGACTAAATACGGATGCTTTTAGGCTACATCTCTCTGGAAGGAGAGAACACACACAGCACTACCTTGCATAACAGAGCATCAGGGAGGGTGTTTGGCAAATCCCTTCTCTAATGAACAGCGAGGCAGCTGTTTCTTCTGCAGCTTAAAGTGCAGATGCTGATTGTCAGGAGAAGGGTTTTCTTTATCCACCACTGATTATCCGTGGCTGTATCTGGCTGACTGCTATTCCTCTAAAAATACTGTTGAAAAGGGACTGGACACTTAAAAAAATCACTGCTGTGCCACAGGGAAGCTGCAGTCCTTCGTGGTTTCAGCTCTCTTTTATGATTATATACCACTGTTACTGTTATCTCTATTAATTAATCTGTCTGCCACAGCAAGGACTGCATGTTGAGTAATGTAGAGCAGCCTGACAACACGACATCCATGGTTTTTTGGCAAAGGTTTGAACAAGTTTGGTTGCTTTTGCGAGCTCTCCAGTGGGTTACACCTTCGGCCAAAGTCCTTCCCTCCTGCTATTTGGGGTCCACTCTCCCTTTTAGCAACTCTCAGGTCTGAGGTAGTTCAGTGGCAGAATATATCTTAGTATTCAGCTGGTTGTCTCAGTTCAGCTGGCTGACAGGTTCAGGACTCAGCACTGTGAGTTTATTGTTAATTGAATAAATTAGGAGCCTGTCAAACTGCTGTGGTTGAGCCTGTTCCCATCAGAAAGCTTGTGCTGGTGGAGTGATTGGAGGTAGGACTGGGCAGGAGAGGGGCTTAATCCCCCCACTCCAAGTTTTGTTGTGGTTGCTTTTTATATACATATATTTAATAACTCATCTGGTGAAAATGCCGTGCAAGTGTACAGGAGGAAACATTTTAACAGCAGAGCAGTGAGAGGTGAGGACACCAAAGGTAACACACGGGTTTAAAGTGACCCAACAGCAGTAACAGGCAAATAAACAACAGGCTGCAGCAAGTCATGACCAAACTCTTGCAGTATCACAGGTGTAACTAGAGAGTCTGTTAGAGGAAGCAAATGGAACCGGATGAGGGAAATTGGTGAGAGAAATTAGAAATAAAGAGCAATTCGGTTCAGTGTAGAGGAATAGCGTGGAGAAAACAGCTCTTCAAGGCAGTGCTCTGCTCTTGAGGAGCTGAAAGGGATCAGAGGAGCTGTCTCAGATAAGTCAAGTTCCAGACAAGGTCACAGGAGTCAGGACACTTGGGAGTGTCTCGTTTCAGACCATCGTCTGTAGGAAACTCAGAGTCAGGAACACCATTGGAATAACACACAGGGCAACACAGCCCCAAGGCTGCACAAGGGGGCTGGGGAAGGTGGCCCTGAGAAAAATCCAGGTTCCCTGGCATTTGCCACAGAATTTGTGCAGAGCCAACAGACCTGTGGTCTGTGGTGCTCAGTGTGGGCCCCTGCCCCTCTCCCATCTGCAGGGTGAGCTCTGCCTGTGGACAGGCTGCCCCAACATCTCATTGCCTTTGCAGAAGAACCACCAAGGTCCACAGGAAGGACTCTGGGGCCACCAGCTGAGTCTGGTGCTGCTGTGAGGGCTGGTGGTGTGTAGCTGGAGGCTGCAGAGTGCAGGTGGTGAGCAGGTATTTGGCTCTGCTTGCTCAAGGTTTCCTCTTGGAATCCCAGCACTGTCTCCTGAGAGCAGCTCTGATGGCACAGTGGTTGGTTAAATTGGTGGCCATGCAGCTGCTTTGGCACCCAGTCCAGTCTGGCAGCTACTCCACAGTGAGTAATTTCCTGCCCAGAGCCTCCTCTGCAGGGACATTGGGCAAATGCATTGACCTTGTGCCTCAGCTCTCCAAATATAAGGATGTTTCCCTATTAGCTCCTCTCCACAAGCCCAAGGGCTGTTAAAAGAAGTAGGTCTCGTGACTGTGTGGTACTTGGATGCCATGGTAATGTAATTAGCTGCACAGCAATCTTACTAAAAATGTCCTTGGTGGAGGAGAGGATGGGGTGGGGGCTCCTTTCGAGGAGGGATGTTAAAGGAGAGGAAGTTTCCAGACCTGTGGCTTCACCACAACTTGGCTGCACAGGCCAAGTCCTCCAAGGCAGGTGTGAACCCAGAGGTTCAGAGCACAAAGTTTCCTGCAGTGTCCATGGGAGAGAGAACACAGCACAAGCCATTAGGAGTGTTAATGGATTATGTAACAGCTTCCCACCCCCAGCAAGCCTTTGGAAATTTTCATGTGGTATCTCGGGCTAAAAGCCTTTTTGAGCAGAACTTGAAGTAAACTCTAGAAAAGTATTCCCATTATTTTCTTTTTTTTTTTTTTCCCCTCTTCAATGTTATCTATGGATCCAGGAACTTCTGGGCTGCTTAATCCAAAGGAGAGAGACACGGGGCTCTGCACGGCACTCGGAGAGCTGTGGTGCAGGAAAGCTGTGCTGCTGATTAGGTTATCTCTGCTCCTCTGCCAGACCCTCAGACTTTGGCAACCTGGGTCTTTTCCCCACCCCCTTTTATATCCTTTAGGTCTTCTTCCTTCCTCCCTCAGCACGACCTCTGTGGCCATTTTTGCTAAATGTGAGCCTTATTAAACACGAGGACTTGTATCAGCATCCACTAGACAGATCCTCCCAGGCTGCTGAGGAATCAAAGAACTCCAGAATCCTGGAGTTGTGTGAAGCATTTGGAGTTAAATTTCAGCTCTGGTGAGCTGGAAGTTATTGTAGAGTTCTTTCACCAAACTCTATTCTCAGTTGTACCATCCAGTGAGGAAGAAATTAGTTTCTGTCATTTATGGTTAACCCAAATGCACATTTATGTAAGAGATTATAGTCTGTATTTTTGAGTGAAATGAAGACTAATAATAGTAATAAAAAGTAAGGTTTCATAGTGACATTTAAAAAAAAATTAGGTGACATAATGCAGTGATGCAATGGAGGGTGAGCTGGGATTTGGTGTCTATTCGATGGATTTCTTTATTTAGGTGTTGTTCTCCCTCACTTGAATTTTCTTGCGTGTTAAGACAAGGCTCAACCAGCCCTGTTTTCCATCCCGATCTCAGCCCAAGTAGTTGAGTTGAGATTGGCTTTCTCATGCAAGAAAGATTGCTCTTTGTCACCTGAGTCAGGGTTTTAAGGCATGAAAACTGCTCGTCAGGAAAGTGGCATTTTAACTCCTGACATCTCCTGATCTCTTCAGTGTTAAAAAGGATTCCCCTTCACTGGAGTTGCTCAGAGTTTGCTCTGGGTTGCACAAGTCTGGAAGGTCACCTTGATCACTGCTCAGCAGTGTGGCCCTGACAGTGTGTTCTCCACGAGACAGCCCAGTGCTGGGATTTAATCCAAATCTGTTTAATCATCTATAATCCACAGAATTCAAATATACCCACCGAGGATCCAGTGTTAGAGCCGTACTGAGGGAGGGAAATCTTGTGTTGTCACAAGTCCTGCTGACATCAGTGGGGTTTCTTATTGATGCAGGACTTAGTGCTTGCACATGCAATTACAGCGAAATTTGGGGTTTAGCATATTTGCAATCTGCTGCATTTTTAGGAAGTTGTTGCTTGGAGGGGAGTAAATGGACTCTGGGCCACATCTACCAAAACCCCTGAGTTGTGCCAAGTGGTCATTCCAGGGGAAAGATATACAATAACCTGGAATTATCTGTGATGCTCTTAAATATCCTAAAGGTTTGATTTATGGTTTTGACTTCTCACTTTTGACTTTTCACTTGATACAAATTAAAAAATGCTATATTCCCCCCCCCACCAGGCTGGCTCTGTTGGGTCAGAAATGTTTCAACAGCAACAAAAAAGTAGGATTTGTCAGCACAAATCATACCCTGCTGTTATTGCAGTGTTATTTTCATCTCCAAGACACCAATATCTGATCACACCCCGTTTGTAACTGTGGGCTGATGCCTTTGTAGCCCTGTAAGTAAAAAAAAAAACCTGCTCCAACCATGGGTAACCAAACAGCTGAGTAATCCTGTTGAAGCCAGTCCATGCACCCATTAACTGTGCAAACTAATCCTTAAAAAACTGATGGAAAGGGCAAAAGAGAAAACACCATGTTTTCCAAGCCAGTGAAACTCCAGATGTGCTTAAAGTTAAATCCTGGAATGAATAAACAGTGCATGATCCGAAAGGCTGGATCTGGGAGCCACAGTTTGTTGCTTACCCAGTGAAATTGTAAAATAAGGTGAACTTTTTTCAGCTTGCAAACTGTGTCACCTCTGGTGCATTTCTGCCTTGACTATATTTTTTTGTTTTCTTTGTGGCCATTTTGCAGTTTTCTGTGGATTTGTTTTGACTGTAAATAGGCACACACATTAGCTAAAGCCAGATAATTTTCTCCTGGCCAGCTTTGCCAGTAAATCACTGAGCTATGTAATTGGGTTTGTGTAAAATTATGCATTGTGAACTTGGGAATAGGTAAAACAGAAACAAGAAGTTGATTTTTGTAAATATAATTTTTTCCATACAAAAATTTCTGTTTGAATTAGTTTTTTTTTTTAGTTCCCTGTCCTGACCATTCTTTAAATGTTGAATGAAAATCAAGCTACAGGATAAAAACCCAAGCAAAATTGGTAATAATTTCTGGTTTGGCTTGTAGGTGGAGTTGAATACAATGTGATTAACTACAAGCAATATGTCGTGAAGATGATGGTATTCAGACACATACCCAAACAATTTGATTCAGATAAATTGGATACAAGACTTTGACCAGCATGAGAAGAACAGGTGAGAACCCTTGAGACTGAAGCAGAAATAATCAGTATTTTGATGGTCAGGAAAAATATTGCTCCAGTAACACAATAGATCCATTAGAAACTCAAAATACTAATTACAATCTGCCTAAAGACTTATTATAAATGAAGTGGAGATAGAAACATGTTTATATTACGGGGAGGCTTATTTGCAGATAAGCAGGAAACCAGTCACACATCTTCACAAACATAATTTTAGCTGTTTTAATTAGCAGGTTTGCTTTGATTTAATTTAATTCAGCGATTCCTTCTATCTTTGCTGACACATGTGCAAATCAGACGTGCTGCCCCGGCTCCTGACACCCCGTTTCCTTTCTCCTCTCTGTTGTTGCTGTTGTTGTTGTTGTTGATTCCGGAGTGTCCCTTCCCTCGGCGTGGCCGGCAGGTGCAGGGTGGGGATGACAACTGCACCTTTCGGGGGGCTCTGCTCACCCCAGCGCTCACTGAGTCCCCAGGTGCTGGCAGCCAGGGTGCCAAAGGCCAGCAGAGTCCCAGCAGCCTCTAGTTTCCAATCCTTTCGAGGGTTGAAATGACAAAAATGAGTGCTTTTTTTGTGTGTAGTTGTGGTGAAAGTGAAGCGAGTTGTTAGAGCAGACCCTACAAAGAAGCCCCACGTGTGCCTTTAGCAACTTACTGCAGTGTGTGCATCAACTCGGGGTTGATAAACAAGCTTTAAAGCTGTCAGAATTCATCTATTTAATGTTTGGAGATTTGGTGGTTTTATTTAACAGTGAGAGTAGTTATTGACAGAATAAGAACACATAGTCCAGGATAAAATCACGACATTAATATACTGACAAAACCCCCAATCTGTGTTGACTTTGCTGAGCTTTTTGTTGGTCTGAGGGCTTGGAAACTGTTTTTTTTTTTTCCTTCTTTATGTGACAAAAGCAATTGGTAACACGCCAGGTGTTGTTCTCCCTTCCCTCTCCACCCCTCCCTTTGCAGTGTCTCACAGCTGTATGAGAGGTAATTAAAACAATCACTGAAATGTTTCAAAGCTGTTGTAGCCTTTAGTTGACTTTTAAAATTCCTATTTGAAGAAGAATGGTAAAATTAATTTGTATCCGGCTCAGCAAAGTGCTCTTTACTTGAGCAATGGACTTTACAACATTGCCAACAAAAGGAATGAAATTAATATTATACTTGCCTTTATCTGGGGTTATTCTGTTAACTGTTTTATACTGGAAATTAATTTCAATATCGTACAGATGCCTACAAGTCCCGAATGCAGCAGTTCTAGCATTCAGTCACACAGCTCTCCTCATTCCTCATTGTGGGTAAAAATAAGAATTCATCAGGAATAAACTTGCCAGGACAATTAAATGATTCTGCCTCTAGATAACGGAAGGGCAAAGTTTATATTCTTGGACTGTAAAATATGTAAGAGTGAAAAGTGCTGCTAAAGAAGTGTTATGTGGTTATTTTGGAAAGAACGGTCATTTTACAAGTTTATCTTTCTACTGAGAAAAAAATCCTTTGGAGCCTGGGAAGCAGACTTTGGGATGGGCATATTTTTTGACGTGGAAATGCTCTGCTCTTTTTCTTCTCTATTTTTTTTTTTTTTTTTTTGGTGTTTCAGTTCCCTCCCTCAGCAGGGCTTTGGAAACCTTGTAATTCATCCCTTACGGAATGCTTGGTCTGTGGGACAGGATTTTTATCTTTAAAATAAGCTTCCCTGTAATATATTCTATTTGATGCTTAAAAAGCCTTAATCTTTACAAACCAGTGTGTTATGTCAGTGCAAAGGGATCCTTCTCTCCCCTTTTACCCTTCCCTCTTTGTCTGATTTGTCCCTCTTTGGGGGTTGGCACTTCCCTGGCATGGGCAGAGAGGGGGCAACAAAAGGTAAGTTGAGGAATTTTCGGGATGAATGGAATTGGTTCAGGCTTCGAAATGACTAATTAAAAAAAAAAAAAAAAAAGGAAAAAAGCCTTGTAGGGTGGAAGGCTTTGCATATCCCTCGTTGGTGTGTGGGGAATCCTCGCCTGGTATATAAGTCAATATGTGGATAAAGCAAGTTTTTACATTTTCCCTCATGAAAATCTGAGAGATACCAGGGAACAGTGTGCAAACCAAAAATATCAATACCAATAAATACAAATAAGGACTTTCCCCCATCAAATTTAAAATATACATCTATTTGTGCAAATATTTCCTATTGAGTCATGGCAGCATAACCTCTTCCTCTTTTTTTGCTCTGTGGATGTTTCCACCCCCCCCCACACACACACACAGGTATTGCAAACAAATTTACAAACGTGGATAAACCCACCACTTAAACCCTCATCTGTGCCTTTGCATCCACACAACTCAACCTGACAGTGGATTTTTGCCAGGTGGAACAAAGAGCAATAAATTAGTTTTGAACATTTATGATCTTGCATTATAAAGACTCCAACAGACTGTGTTCAAAATCAATTGTCAGTGTGATGGGGGATTAATAACTGTGGGACCGTAACCTTTTCCGTATCCACAGCCTGGGGAAGGGCACGTTTCAAGATCTGCTGCCATATTTCATTATTGCCACCTCTGTTTGAAAGACCTTTTTGATGCTTTAAAAAAAAAAAAAAAAGGAGAAACAGATTAGTTTTTAGTAGTGCTGGATGAATAACTCGTAATTAATAATTCATTCCGTGAATTTTTGCCTTTTAGTCCGTAGGAAGAATGAACAAAAAAAAAAAAAATAGTTGTCAAAATTTTTCTATTGACTGATTGGGTTGTTTTTAATCAAAAGTAGGAATCAGAATTCAGGGTGTGTTATGTATTTGTGATTGATCAGTCATGTGGTCTTGGTTTAATTCCCCAATTAATTGAGGACAAATACTAGAATAAATTTCATGATCAAATATTTGAGGAGAGTGTATTTAAAAAGCCCTTTCCAAGCTTAAAATCAGGTTTTGAAAGGACCCTTGAAAGTAAAATTCCGAGTGCATGAAAATGGTTGGAAAGGAGATGCAAACGAGGCAGGAATGTGGCCAAGCCAAGTTCATTACAAGACACAAATGAGTTTCTGAGACTTCTACAGCATTTTCCAGCTGGAATTTTCCCTTCTTAGCTCCAGCACCCACTTTAGGAGAAAACTAGTAAATATTGGGGGTAAATCTGGGAGCAAGGGAAATGAGAGGTTTATTGAATTTCCTGACCTCCCCAGCTACTGTGCTTTAGTGTTTTATGATAGTGAAATGTTTTATAAACATTTTATAAATGTTTATAATGTGTTGAAACCACCTGAAGAATTGTCATCCTTGGGCTTTCTTTGCATCCCGCCCATGCCAGGCTGCCTGGCCTAAGAGGCACCTGTGACTTCTCCTGCATTTTTTTTCGTATATCCACTTTATTTTTCTTCCTAAATAGAGATAAACCAGTTAAATATTTCCCAACAAAATAAGATGTGTAATCTCCAGGGCCGTGCATACCATCAAACCGTCATTTCCTTCGATTAACCTCCACCTGACCTCCCTCCCTGAGGCGCTTCCCGAGCCTTTTGTTCCCCCTTTCCAGCACTGAGCTCCATCAGGTGAGGGCATCTGTCACTCAGGAGCTGGACACTTCACTGCACAGCTCAGAGGAGATGCTGGGATGGAAAACCAGGCAGGATGTGCTGGGTTAGACAACCCAGACCAGAAAAGGTTCATGACTCAGATCTGCAGGACTTTCGTTGTAGCTCCTTCGTGTTCCCAGTTTGAGGAGAATAAAATTCCTACCAGGAGAGGATCAGAGTTAACAAATCACCTCCTTACAACGGCAGAGTTTGGAAATTGCCGGGGAATTCATTTCATCATTTTGAAACCAAACAGGCCTGTGTTTAACCTCAACTTTTTTCTGGACAGATAGCAAGAAAATGGAAATTAGGAAGAAGTCCTGTTGATCTTAACGAACCTTTTTGTGGTTGGCAGTTTGAAAGAAATGTTGATGCCTGGGAACCTTTTATTTATTTATTTATTTATCTATCTATTAAATATATTTATTTATTTATTTATTTATTTATTTATTTAATCCTGGAAATTCATTTAGGGTGAATAATATGGAACTGAGATATGAATGCAGACAGATCATCAAGCACTGGGCTGACAGCAGTGAAGAGCAAACATCGAATCCATAACTTCTGCTTGTGGAATTCTGAGTGTACTGAGGAATTTTGAAGAATGTTCTTTGGAATGATAACAGAGGCCACGTGTGATGAAGTATCTCTTCATCCCAATGAGAGCTGGTGCAGTGGCTCATGGTGGTTCCTAAGGGCTGTTTCTATGCCCCTTGGTCCTAATTTGACTGTTCAACCTCTCAAATCTTTTGCTGACAGATTAAAAATGTGCCATCAGAAGCCTCGGCATCACATCAATTCCTACAGATGATGGTTGACTCATCCCTTAAATCAGTCTCTGATGAAGTAAATTGGTCAGAACTCCATCATCATTTCATCATCAGGCATAATTTACAGATCTCCTATGGTTTTTCTATTTAGAATCATAGAAACATTTAGGTTGAAAAAGGCCTTTAAGATCAGCAAGTCCATTTTTTGCCCTATCCCAGTTTGTCCTTTTTTAAATTATCCCATTAAAGTTTGAAGAACAGAGTCTATATATGCAGCATTCCATGATTTCTGCTCAACCCCCAAGATCATGAGACTCGCTGAAAAATAGGGAGTTTTAAAATAAGAAAGAACCGCACTTTAAGATTTTTGTGCAAATATTGAAGGGTGGATCTATTCCTTCTGCCAAGAGTTTATGATCTATTTGTTTAGTTTTTATTCATGCTGGCTTCCCCCCCCCCTCCCCTCCATTCCAGGGGCATGTTACATTTATAAATCATGAGGAAGCAGATATTCCAGATGCAGAGAGATGCTGGTGAGAACTGATGGGGTTGGTAATTCTGTACCAGCCAACAGGACCAAGGGTCCTGAAAAAAAAGAAAAAAAATAATGAGATGATTTTACAGGGATTGTAAAAAAACCCCAGATTTGGAGAAGATGTG